TCTAAACCAGCTGATATTCCCCGACTGTAAATATAGTCGAATCACAGGCAAGTGCCACCAACACAAATCTTTTTCGACAAATCATGATCTGCAGGATGATAGAGTAATGCCCCCACAGAATGCAGCGATTATCAAGTATAGGAGGAGTACAATTAAGCAAGTCAGCAAGGCCCTGTCACATGAACAAGTATTTTAGAGCCAAATCTCCAAAGAAAAGAAATTGATAAGTCGTAAACCATAAAACAAAGATATTATTTATGGGCTTGACAGAAGAAACATACAAGAATACAAAGATAGGCTTCTTGTCATTACCAAGATCATTTTTTAAAACTTGGCTAGAGCAATGGTTAATCATTAACGGTTGTCAGAATAAGATAAGACTTACATAAGCTTTGCATTTTTCATCCAAAGAGCTCTTCTGAGGCGCTTTGACTGTTTCCTGAAGTGAAATGCACTGTCTTGCATGGTTGATGTTTTGTCAACAAGAAGCTCAATCCGGTCACCTCTCTCAAGTATTTTCTCAATATTATCAACCATGATGGTATGTAGCTGAATTGATATTCAAGTGGAGGGATAAAAGCAGGTGTTAGAAAATGTCAAACACACAATAATAACAAAGCCCTCATTATCCAACATTGGACCAGAACACAATTACCACAATAGGGTTAAAATACTACCCCATAAATTGAAACTTAACACTGGCAAGACAGAAGTGTTATACTATACTAAACTGTGATTTCCTCTTTATTATGACCCAAAAAAAAAAAAAACTTTACTGAGATAACCTTATCGTGCAAATTCATATTCTTATGATCTCAAACAGGAAAGTTATGAACTTCCCTTTCAAAAAAATAAGCAGAAAATATTTACCTCACCAACTTCCCCTCTAACACGACTAAATGTATCCGCGCTGGGGTTACTTGAATAGAACTCCATTTGCTGATGTAAAACCCTTGAGAATTCATCGTTCATGGCATAAGCAGGTGCATGGGAAGCAATCCTACCATAATTCTTCATGAACCGCATTTTGACATCCTCTAAATATGAGAATGGTATCCTTCCTAGTTCAGAGTAGAACAATAGGTTTGTTAGCTATTGGTGAAATGCAAAGGACCAAAAAAAAGTGAAAATTTGTCCTTAAAAATAACAAAGATCATCAGAACAGGTTTTTATCTTTCTTTTAGTACGGAGTGTTTGATATGGAACTGGTACTCGTGTGGTCTATAATTTGGCACAAGCAACCCCCAACAGTGACCCTTAAAGAGAAACTCCAACAGGCAACGATTTCATAACCCACTATTCAATTCTTTTCTCTAAACAAATATTCAGAGCCACTCTAGTCAATCAACTAATTTTCATGACAAATAATGTCTCTTTTGGCAAGAAAGAAAAGGAGCATTTTTACAATACACACTACACAGATGGTCTGGGCTCTGGAGTGTTACAGTGCCTAACTAAGAGTTGGTTTAGGTTCATAAACCCAAATAGCCAATCCTAAGAACTGTGTCCGTGTTTCTAATCTTCACAATCTTCATCTAAAGCTCACTAAAGCCATGCCTCACATGAGCTGAAGCTGCCAAGTCTCAATGATGGACAACTTGCATCCATGACAAAACCCATACTCCTCATATAGGCGAACCTAACACCACCTTAATTACTAGAGCCAAAAACAGAAAGTCTTGTCTCGTGATTTGACATTACCTTCATCACAAATTTAGGCACTAATTCATTGTACAATACCAAAATAGGAGGTTATGACTTATGACCCAATTTCTTAATCTCTACTACCTGGCTACCTCCACTGAGTGAATTTCAATCTTAGCTTGCAGATAGGGAATACCCAATGAGTAGTATATGAAGTTTGGTTTTCAGAAATAGCAATCAAATCAACAGCTAGTATTCCTACTAGGATAATCATAATCCTATGATAACTGGATAGTTTATCTAAACGAAAATTTCATGTTTTGATTCGAGAAACACGATCGTATGATCAGACAAAAAATGATACACAAAAACCCTTAGGGACTCACTGCCGAAGGTGTCGTTAGCCATACAGAGGAAGGTGAGGCCATCGGATCTGAGGATATGAAAGATGTATCGGTCCTGAGAGAAGCAGAGCCTCGACTCCGCTTCCTCCGGGAGCTTCTCCAATATCCGCCGCGCAATCGCACCGGCGTTCCCCGTCACGGCGCTGAATTCCGCCAGCACAGTCGTCCCCCTCGCCACCAGCGCATACAATATCGCCATCTCACCACTCCCACCACCGCACCCCACCCCACCCCTCTCTCAATAACTGTATGTATCTGTGCGTGTAAACGTATATAACGGAGCTGTGTTCGGAGGATGGGTTTGGTGGGCAACGGCGAGCAGGCAGTGGCGGTGTCACCTGAATGAAAGTCTACGGCGTTTTCGAGGGGAGGTATGATATACTCACCTGACAAGGCTGACAGTTAACAAAGCAAAAGTAAATAAATAAATATTTTTAAAAATACTATTGTTCTTTTTTTTTTTTTTTTTTTTTTTGAAAACATACTATTGTTCATTTGTTCCTACTAAAATTCATTCATGGAATAAAATTATTTTAAAGACTCAACAGAAACTGCAAAATTTTAAATTGCTTATGTGAATTCACTGATCTCAACATGTCTTAGGCTCTGTTTGGCAAACCTAGTTGAAAAGCTATAATCTAGGAGCTGAAAGCTGAAAAGGAGTTGAAAGCTGAAAAGCTATAAGCTCGGAGCTGAAAACTGAAGAGCTGTTAAGCTAGCTGTTATGATTGAAAGTGTTTGGTAAAAATAGCTTTTTGATAAGCTGATAAATGTAAAAAGACTAAAAAGGACATCTTCATAAAATTTAAATTAGTTTGTTTACCTATTAAAATTTAACATTTTGTCTTTAAAAAAAATTAACATTTTGAAATAAAACTATTAGCATAATCATGATCTAGCATCTCATAATGAAGTAGCAATATTGTTGCAAATCTCATAATAATAATAATAATAATAATAATAATAATAATAATAATAATAATAATAATAATATTTGCGTTGAAAGTTGCGGATAAAGGAGAAGAGAAAATGGTTTTAATTGGGAAGGGTAAATTATGTCATTTCTTTAAAATAATAAGGATAAAGATGGAAAAAAAGTTAGGAAGTTAGGAGCTTATTTTGAAACGCTACCTAAAGTAAAGTTCCAAAATAAGCTCTTATTTTAAGCTAGTAGCTTATTTTGAGAACATTACCAAACAGAGCTTATAGCTTATTAGGAGCTTAAAATAAGCTATAAGCTCCTAAATAAGCTCTGCCAAACAGAGCCTTAATAAGAAGTCACATAATAATGCATTATGGTCGAGCGACATAGTTGCAATTTTTTAAATGAGAAGTCTCAGGTTTGAAACCTACTGTATGAGCAAATACTATATTGTAATAGAGTAAAATTAATTTGGATTTAGCTTGAATCGTGTCTAACATACACCTACAAAGTTAATCTTCATTTATCAATTAGTTCGAATTGTTTGGTTAGCCCAATTTTCTTTAAATCATGATACATACACAAATTTAAAGGGAGATATATAGAAGAATATAATAATTAAATAAGTCCCTGAACTACTTAGAAAATAAATAATTGTACCGTCAAATTACAAAAAGTTTAATATTAATCATTGAATTCTTAAAAATAAACAATTATAACTTTCTAACTTGTAAGTTACCTTAACTTGTAAATTATCTAAATACGATTTAAATATGTCGTTCCACTTAGGATTGGAGGTTATAGTGCATGCTTGTATAGTTATTATATTTTACTACTAGACACTCAGATAATGAATTCTCAAGAATCCAAGCATCATCATACTAATCGTGGGTAATCATTCATTAAATCAACAATGGACTAAAGGGAAAGATTAAGATAAGGGGTTGGATTAGGGACTATTGCCTTCTAAAGATTTGGGGAGAAATCTTCAACCAAGGGTTAACAACAGTGCTCACAAGAATTCTCAATCTTAAGGCCAGATTAGAGCAAGAGTTATTCCACTTTCGTGAAGTATCAACTCTTAATCCTTCAAGTACAAAAGCATTGAAAATTTTCAATCTTCTCCTAGCTACTTTCGTAGATAGAGATTGGGTAGTGAAGGATGAGACTTGAGTTCATCCCCTGACTTTCGTTGTGAGAAGAACTCCAAGGGCAAGTTAATCCATGTTGCATACCATAATCAACAATATAAATTCAAAACTCCTTCACAAAGGGGAACCTTAGGTTGAGATTCTTCTCTTTTGGAAAAGTAAGTAGACCATAATCTAGACTCCAATAAGGAATTACTAGCACTTAAAAAAAAAGACTCAAAATCATAGCTCAAGAAATTAAAGAGAGAAGTCTTCAAAAAAGAAATTAAAGAGAGAAAGAGAAAATAAATATTCTCTATTGAAGACAATCCAAAATAGAGCAAATGCAATCCTCTTCAACGATGTTACAAGCTTGTCCAAATACATGCGCATCTAAATCTGTCTAATCGAAAAAATTCGAAGCAAGATTTAATTTTTGAGTCAGAACACTATATGCACATCAACACTGGTGTTGGTGTGCCGGTGTGTGGAGACAAGCAATCCGAGTTCATGCCCGTGAAGTGAGCCATGATTGGGAACGAAGCTTTATTATGATTATCCATCCAACTTGGAACTTAATTAATCACTTATTCTTAGAATTAATCTTGGGTGCATTAAGTTCTTGAATTGATTATATAGTTTACATACACCCCTAAATAATCAATGTAACAAATAAGAATACGAAACTTCGTCAATGCAATTCCACATGTGATGACTTGTCGTCACGAAGCAGCTAAACATAGCCACATGGGTTGGGTTACAAGCATTTGGGATCTCCATAATTTATTTTTTCTATCAATTTTCATGCAAGAATAATGGGAGTCCGCCCTCAAATTTAAGTTAAAACTTAATAATGCATGTCACCTGCCATGATGACACCAACTTAAATGCACCTAGAAATTAAGAGGTAAGGTCCTTAACTCTAAGGACAACTCAAAGGAGTCTACTGTATAGTATAATTTGATGACAAATTACATTATTTCTTTAGCGATGACACCGCATTAAAAAATCTAAACTAGTTACAGAAATGGTTGGAATTTTACGTACCATATCATTAATTTCCAACAACTAACGTACTGTACTGTCTGTCTGTCTGTCATGTTATATTCATCATATCATCATTCATTCCACTTGGAAAGTTGGAAATTAATGAGTCTTTCCAAGCCAGAAAATGGTTCAGGACTCTTGACCATCCTCGTCAGGCCAGTTGTTGCGTAGACATTCATACCATCATCAAAGTCTTCTTCTTCTTCTTCTTCCTGCACCACTGAACTTTCAGAGCACTTATTAATGGCCTCCATGGGTATCATTTTCACCTCTTCTTGACTTGTTCCCATGTTTCCTATTGGTCTTCGATCAAACGACCCAAAATTCCTTAATATCACATACACCCGGCACAGGGTCATTTCATGCCTTAACTGCAACCATCCAACAATTTTTATCATTCAAACCAATTTTATTTTATTATTAATATATACAATCATGTGTGTCATATGGGTTGTAATAGTATGTATATATTATTGTGTATTGACTACACGTACCTTTGGAGAAGGAATTAGGGGAGAAGAATATGAAGGGTGCAGGTGGGAACTGGGAAGTTGTTCTTCAATTGCCCTATACTCATTCATCTTCCATTTTGTCTTTCTCCCACAAGGGGACTTCCCCTTGTAAAACACCATGCTTTTCTTCACCCCAATCACCTTGTTATCCGATGAGTAGACGTAGCTTGGGGAGCCGGTGGCCTTCCAGTAACCGGCGGCCGTCGTCCGGCACGGCCTCCCTCCCCGCGCCTCTCTCTCTTGTCTCGGCACAAAGAAAAACCATTGCTCAGTCTCCCCCACACATAGCTCTCCTGAAACCTCTGCACTCAAAACAAATACGGGTAGGATTATGCTTACATAGAGTCACCCATCATGTGACTGTTGTGTCATATCTTCTGATAAGTAGGTAGACATTAAATATTTAACTACATTCATATAAGCTACAATGTCATGTCTCGAATTGAGCAGGGGCTAAACTCGGCTAATACAGCCGACGCCCAACAAATAACATAATCATCAGATAACACAACTCGATCATTAAAAAACATCAAAAAAGAGATAGAGAGAGAGAGAAACTGTATGTAGTGTATGTATTTGCTTACTTGGGAGGTGCCAAGGCTCAAGATCAAAGATGTTGATCATGGGAATAACACAATTGATATCTTGTCGAGTGCCTTCAAGCTTGTTATGCAGATAGAAGGAAAGCAACTCTTCTTCAGTCGGATAGAACCTAAAGCCTGGTGTAATTTCTGCCATTTTTCTTCTAAGCTACTTTCTTTAATTTAGTGCAAGCTAGCAAGAGCAATTGTTCTTGAGAAATCTATGTATATATAGGGAGAGGGTGTGGGAGTATATATGAAAAGATGAATGTATCCGTGTGGGATAGACTTAGCTTTACCGTGTGAATGGGGAAAATGTTTGGAAATTTGTGGAGTTAGTAGGATTTTGCTTGGTCCACACGCTGCGCTCTTGTTCTTGTCCAAGTATTAGACCATTGAATATATGCTAATGTTCAAGTGCATACTCTCACCGTGTTCTTGTGACTTCCGTGAGACCCTTCGTAAATACACACAAGTTACTATACGAATGCATACATGGTAAATTGTATGCATTCATGTGAGGTGAATTGCACACAATTTACTATTTATACATTCATGTAGTAGTTTGTGTGCATTTTCGAAGAGGCTCATGGAAATAGGTGATCTCATTTGATTTTATATATATATATATATATATATATAACCAGACTACTATGAAATTTAGTAGTCTCGTGAGAAAGTATAGACAAATTTCATATTCATTTAGGCTGATAAAAAACTTAAGAGGTAGAATTTAAAGAAAAAATGAGAACAAATGTGCAGTGGTATATATATAATTACGATAATACAGTTGGAAATGCTTGATAGTACATTTACGGATAATTAATAATTCCGTACACATATGAGTGTGTTACTATAGGTTCTGAGTGTACTATCAATATTCACTAATGCATTATCAAATGTTTTTAAATGCACTATCGTAATACAAAAATGTCATGTGTTTTTTCTTTAATACATACATGGATGCGTCATTGTATCATAAGATACTATAATGCACCATCGTAATACAAAAACGAATAAACTGAGATTAGTCCATATGTTATCACGGAGTTACTAGTTCTCATATGATCTTATATATTTATACGTACGTGGATGCGTCATTGTATCGTAAGATATTATATAAAATTGTTGTATTATTATTTTTTGGTTAGACCACGAGATGTCTTGAGTACCCCCCTAACTGTAAGAGACACCTTTAAACCCGTACCAACTAATCTTCAGTTGTATCGGTATAGCCACTTACGTCAATCAAACTGGTTATAAAATTGTATTATTATTAATCTCAACAAACAACACATAATGAGCGATATAGCTATAATTTTCCGTTACTTTATTTTTATACGTTATGCTAATATATAAAGAATATACCTCCTTGACTTAAGGGTCAACTGGATAGTCTACATGCAAGTCTCCGACGACCCTTCAATAAATCATATTAAAGCATCAACATTCTATGGGTCGGTCACATTTAAGCAATAATAAAGACTATGGGATTTTTCTTGCAGCATTATTCAATTTTAACCTTATTGGCTTTGTTTTTCCTTTAAAAAAAAAAGTTTGGCAGGACGACTTTTAATAATTAATAGTCAATAATTCTATTAGCTTCATTGAGCTGTTATCAAATTTATTTTTTAAGAACTTTCTCGTGATAGATGAGATACTAAGGCTCCGATTAGTCGTGTCGATTTATGCTGGTCGTTTACTTCTCTTGTGTGGTTTACGAACTATTAAATATAAATAAAATTTATTCAGTGCACACTATCGAATTAATTACACTTTAGGTAGGAGAACCAATACCTATTACAAAACATTCTATTCGTTGAAGTACACGTACTGTAGTATGAGAATCGTTAAAAACAAATGTGCTTTTTGTCACATTTACAAGTGTATTGCAATTTTGGCGATGAATGAAACCATTCCCTATGATAAAGGGGAAATTGGATTCTTTGCGGCGGGGGCAGGGCAAATGAACGAGTAGTACTCCGGGAAAAAACAACTTACATTACTCACGACAACAACATTAATGTGTCGTTATGCATGTTATAAAAGTATATATAGTTGTATACACTTGATCAATAATGTTTGAATTGTAGCAAATTAGTTTTCATGTGCTATAATACATACATCAATGATGAGTCACACTCTAGTATACAATAGACATAGTTATAAACTTTGTTTGTACTTGATCAATAATGTTTGAATTGTAACAAATTAGTGTTCATATGCTACAATATATCAGTCAACGATGAGTCACACTATAGTATTAGTACACATAGGCCCTCTTGGGTAAAATAGTTAGCCTATCAGTGAATTTTAGCTATTTTGACCACTATTAGCTGTTTGATTTGGTTAAACAATTAATATGATGAGTGTTTGATTAATTAGCTTTTTATAGCAACTTATTGCTCCAAAATGCTAAAATTCAAAAAAGCTGTTCAAGTAGCTTTTTCGATAAGCTTTCTGAGAAAGTCATTTTGTATGTAATCAACTAAGTAACATCTAATTTACCAAACACTTTTCTACAAATCAGCTAATGTTATCAACTAGTCAAGCCCACTAACCCAATCAGTCGCTAACCAGTCGTTATATAGTGCACCGCGGTGCATAATCGATTATGCACCGCGCATCAAAATGGCGGCGTTTCTGTAGTTATAATGGAGTGACACTACAGTGTGTCTAATTAACCGACACTGTCTCACGTATTATTTTTATATTATCAAATGAAACTGCAGTTATATCAAAATGATATTGTAGTTGTGGTGAAATGAAACTATAGTATATATAAAATGAAACTGAATAACATTTCACATATTTGAGTATATACCGTACAATGAAGCTGTAATTATAATATTATATTGAAATGATCATGTAGTTGTGTTTTAATGAAACTATAGTGTATATAAAATAAAATTAAATAACATTTTCACATATTCGAGTGTATAAATATTGAATGAAACTGTAATTATATCGAAATGAAATTGTAGTTGTGTTGAACTGAAACTGCAGTGTATACAAAATTAAACTGAAGAACATAGTTATTTTTTGCGAAGATTCTGTTTTTTTTTTTCATTAAATAAAACGACGTCGTTTTGATGCGCGGTGCATAATCGATTATGCACCGCGATGCACGATATAATTTGCGGTCGCTAACCGTCATTTACCAAACACCCCTTATAGTCATAAACTTAATCATGGCAAGGGTTCGATAAAAAATAAAAAAAAAAAAAGGAAAATGATACTTTTTCTCCCTGAGTTGTATACTTATAGCACTTTTCCCCCCTGAATTACTTAGGTAAGCACATTAGCCCCCTCAATTATTCTAAAAGTGGTGGTTTTTCCCCCTGATATATTAAATTGACATTTCTACCCTTAAAGTAAACATTTTATTTATTTTACTTCTCCATCAAATTATTGCGTATACGTACGGATGACCACGGTTCGGTTCGAACTGAACCTGACACTATAGCAATCGAATTAAAAGTTTTCGGTTATGATTTAGATCTAGAACCCAATATTGGATTTCAATTTATTAAAATTATGAATTAAAAAAATTAGATCCTGAACCGTGAACGGGCGGTTCCGGATCCGGTTCGCGATTTTGAACCGGTTTTATTTTAAAATTTTATTTTTATTTTAAAATAGTCTGAATTCAACAATAAATGTATTTTATTTTTTCAATTTGGAACATGAACCAGCCGTTCCGGTTCACGATTTTAATAAAATCTAAATATCGAATTTCGATTCTAAATTGTAATTGGAATATTTCGGTTTAGTTGCTATAATGTCTGTTTGGTTTGAACCAAATTATGGTATAATTTGTTGGAGAAGAAAAATAAATAAATGTTTATTTTAAGGGTAAATATGTCCATTTAACATTTCAGGGGGAAAAACAGCCACTTGAACAATTCAGGGGGGAAAAGTGCTATAAGTACATAACTCAGGGGAAAAAGTGCTATTTTCCCAAAAAAAAAATGATATTGTCAAGAATCAAATTGGTAACCTTTCATACAAGAATCATGCTCTAACCCTTCAGACACAACTTTTGAAACTATTATTTATTTAATTTTACATACAACACCTAGAATTCATTACAACAAAACTAATTTAGATTTGATAAAATTGTATTTGCAAAGTTCAACTCTTACTCAAAAGAAAATCTAAGCACTATAAAAACTATTTAACATGATATGACGCAGTAAGACTTATTTAATTATTACATTGTCAAAATTATACACCCAATTAACACATGACAAAGTCTTGGAAAACGTTGTTAATTAGTTATTAGGGTATGCCGATGATGGGGATGAAGGGCAAGTAGTAATAGCTGGTTGGTGGAAGTCCCCACTCCCTTGGCAGAGGCAGATCCACTGTCTTTGACCCACCAATACTACCACCCCCACCCCCACCCACACATTTTGCATTTGGACACTTTGTGTAAAACCTAAGAGGCTCCGAGGTGGTCATGATGTAGTGGCGGCTGTGGTCGGATTCTCCGGCGGCAGCTCTGACGACAACCTTGGATTCACATGCTTTCATAGGAATGTAGAGCTGTCGGGTGGCTCCGAGGATCTTGGCGCTGCAGCTGACGACAGAGGATGGGGATTTTGAAGAAGGGAGAACCACAGTTGTTTCGAAACTCCCATCTTCTTCTGTTGTCGCCATGGCCATGTTTTTCTCCCCACCACACTTCACTGACACTTTCACACCTGATGATAAATTTGAGATAATATAAATTTGATGATAAAGGGAGTATGTTGTAATAATGGGAGTAGTTAAACGTACCTGAGAGATGTGGAGGATGGTTATGGGTATGGGTGCAGTCCAGGCAGGTGACAGAGCCCTTGAAGACATGGGAGGCGGAGAGGTCGAAGCTGGCGAGAGCTAACGCGACGGAGAGCAAGATTCCGGCGAGCTGATGACAGGCGGCAGCCATTATATTGTAGATAATATGACACCACTTAAATGCAAGACAGAATGCAGATCGAAGAGGTGCCTGGCTGAATATATATAAACGTGCCTGGGTGAAGATCGAGATGAGTAAATTAAATGAGGAAGGGACCCAAGTCAGAGTGGGTAGTTGAACTGATATGCATGTAGCCATTATCATCACCGTACGTAAGATGTTCAATTCAACTGTATGTATCTGTATCTGTATCTGTATGATATATCCGATCGAGCTGGCCTGGCCTGGCGGCAGCATGGAGATGTAATGGCACCGGACAACCATTTGCCGGCGGCATAAACAATTCACTTAATTGCAACCTAAGCTCTCCATCACTCCATGGATCTTTCATGCCTCATATATATATCCGCATTCATGCATATAATACTTATTATACACAGTGTGGAGAAGAGACCGATGCAACTCCACTTAAGTTGGTCGGACATACATTTAACTCAATAACTATGATATTTTACCAGCTAAGTTAACAAGGCTAACTACCCCATACAGCACTTTTGGATAGGGATATGATGACATGTTTTTTCTTAAATTAAATCAAAGTATGGAAAAGAGATTGTTATGTTGTGATAATCTCTTTAATTTGAACACCTAAATAAAAGAAACTATTCTTAAAAACTAGTGTAACATATCTGGAGATTTGAGTTTTATTCAAAGAACTACATACACACAACTTCAAACATCGTGACAGTGCACGTTTTCAACTTTAAAATAAGAGCGGTCATCAATTTAAATTTTTTTAAATAATAAAGAAAATCCACAATTACTATTTAATGGTATATATATATATATATATATATATATATATATATATATATATTGAATTGGATAAATTAAACCCTATTTTCGATTTTATCTGAATATATAATTGAAGGTATAGTAGCTCCAAGATGCATGGGGTTACGTTGTTTGTCAGAAACCAAGTGAGTGAATTAAATGTGTAATTAAGTAGATGGTAGTTGCCCTCTCCCTCTCCCCAACCATACTCCGCATTCATACCCAACACCCACGGTAAAGATGATGTATTGATATATATGACTAAATTAAAGGGTTCACTTCAATCTCCACCTGTCTAGTCCTTCCGTTAACTGTTGTTGTCCGTATTGTGAAAAGTAAGAGCAAAACAGTCTTTTTATTTCAACCCCAACCAAAACAAATAATTCCCCTAAAAAACGATAGAACTATAGAGTTTTCTTTGCATGAAACGAATCCACAGTTGTGAAATCTTCAGATTGAAATTGCGGTTTTGGCTCGCCAAAGAACGGTGTTTGCGTAAGTGGGAATTATTAGAGAAGAAGTTCAATGGGAGGAGATTAGGGCTAATTTTAATTTTTGAGGGAAACGAATTGTTTTGGCTGAGGTTGAAATAAAAAGATTGTTTTGCCCTTACTTTTCACGGCGCAGACGGCATATGTTAACGGAAGGACTACGATAGGTCGAATTCGAAACTCAGAAGATCACGGGTGGTCGATTTAAAAGGGTAGGACTAAAGGTGGCAAAACTACAAAACTCGGAAGACCTTAGCTGATATTTACTCTAACTATTAACTCAATTTGTAATATTTATATTGTATGGATATAAGGTATATGGCTGTCTTGTTCTAAATATAAGAAATTAATGTTTTTGGGGTAAGAAATTAATGTTTACTTTAAATACTAATTTTTTGTTCAATAGAATTATTACAACTCTTTGATTTATGAGAAAAAGGGTGAAGTCTATCGACATAGATAAATCCGTCTCAATTATCTATAATTGATATGCTCAAATCAAAAAGCCTAATAAAGTTGTTCTAAATTATTACAACTCTGATCTATAACTTTACAAATGTTGAATATATTAAATTCATATAGTCACCAAATTACAAGTCAATATATACGACTAATATAATTTATTGGACCATTGATTGGCCTAACTTCAAATTCAACATCCGTACTACTGTACAGCACCTCATCGTTCTAGGGTTCATAAGTCAATAAAAGGGGTAGTTGGATGAGGACTTTAGACTTGATTTTTTTTATTTTACTTTTTTCAGTCTTTTTAATAGTTATGAACTTAGGACAAAATAGAACTGAATAAATTGCAAAGGGTAAAACACTTTCAAATTTAACTTAGCTTGTTGCATGAATATATTTTCCTTTAAATAGACTATTATCTCAACGTAACTTAAAACTCGCATAGCTTTAGACAGACCATTAAAACTCGCAGATTAATTTTTTAAATAGTTCTTTTCCACCAAGCATTAGTAGCCTCTCAATGAGAGGATCGATTCTTTTCTACTATGCATTAGTCTCTCAATGAGAGGATTAATTCTTCAAGTATAGTCTTTTACCATGCCCTCTCAACGAAAGTACCGAATAATGCGTCATTACTAAAGTCAAGACTTAACTCCACTGCTACAAAATTAGAGCTAATTAATGAGTGACCCTAATTAAGTACCACTTTACAATCTCCAATGAATCTAATTTGGGATCGTCTCAGAGATTTAAGTTTCAATTAATGAGATGAGATAAGTCTTGATCTTAATCATTAAGCAAAGAGATTAGATCATAATTATATTGTCTGATGGAACATGGACTACGAGTAGTCAACCAAGCAGTCAGTTTTAGATGGTAGTCAGATCAGCATTCGGACTTGGCACTCGGGGCTTGACTAGTCAACCGTAATGGTAAAGGAAGGAATTATATGACAACTACGAGATTGGGAAAGTCAACGTATATAAACTACTTTCTTAAATACCATTTTATTCCCCAAAATTACCTCCACTACCTAAATCCTTTATATTCCCTAAATCCCTTTATATTTCTTAATTCTCTCTGCATCCCATAAAATATTCCACTCTACCATAAATACCGAATTACCATATAGATCCCGATTTCCAAATGCACTACCTATTTCTCTCCTATAAAAGCCTTAGCCAGTCACAAAGAAGAGGCATCAAAATCCTCTCATACCACACCTCTCTAAAGAACACCCTATTGTACATGTACCAAACTACCAAAATATAGTGAATTTCATTTTGACACCACCCAAAAAGATCCGTGATTTTTACCTTCAATTTCCACGTAAAAATTAGCATGTCTATTTATTTTTCTTCTCCGTTATTTATATTTTATTTATTTAATCGGTTGTGTTGGCTCACTGTTTGAGTGAATTTGACTACCCTGGTCAATAAAACCAACAATATATATTGGCATTCATACATCTTCTAGACTTTAGTGGTAAATTAAAGGAGGTTCAACAAGTTTCCTCATGAAGAAACATTCCGACAAAAGAGAAAATCATGGGAATATTTATTGTACTTTGCTTTGGTGTTAAGCTTTCAAACATAAAATGGTGAAAGCTGAAATATACTCTGTGATCATCAGAAATGATAACAAACAAGCATTGATGAAGAGCATAATATTGTTCTTGATTCTTCTTCACCTTCATGCATCTCTTCACACTGCAACTCCCTTGCAACTTCCATGTAAGTTTTCGAGTTCATATACACTTCTTTATAACGTTGTTTGTTGTACGATATGATCGATGTTAATTATTAATTTATTATGTTACTAAATATTTATAAGGTTGTTGTTGGTTGTATGAACAATTTAGTTTGGGAGGAGAAGAATGAAGAATTAGTGGCAATTAATAGACGCGGTGGCGGTGGGCACGGTGGAGGTAGTGGTCATGGCGGCGGGGGGCACATTAGTGGTAGTCACGGGCGCGGATTCGGTGAGTATGGCCGCGGTGACGACAAGACACCTCAAACTCATGGCGGCGGCGCCTCGGTGATCCCATTTTACGCCGCTGCTGGAGCTCACAATCATAATCGTAAAAGTAACAAAGGCAGCCCTAAGAACGGCGGTTTTGTCGTCAATTGTTGTTGTTTATGGTTCTTGCTTATTGCAATTTTTTCAGTTTGATTCATCATATGCTGTAAATTATTGTATATTTAAATGCATGTTTTGAATAAATTAAAACATGTTAATCTTTATTGCATATTGCATTGTCACCTGGTTGGCAATTCTATGAGATAACCTTGTCTTGATACCTCATAGAGTTTCTATTAGTCTTCTTAATGAATATATTCTTGGAGATCGCGGGACAACTTGGACTGATTTATCGCAGACCGCAGTTATCCACATATAATTCTTTCAAGGAAGTTGCTGCAACAAGATCTGTAAATTCAAAATTTTTTTAAAAAATATTAAGAAAATTCATGAAGAAATTAAAAAAAAAAATAAATAAATAAATTAGAACATCTATGCATTTGCATTTACACCCTGCTTATTTGCAATTTCAGCAGAAACAGGGGGCCAAAATTTTCTTGTTTGCAGTGATGCATGCAAAAAAGAACATAAATGGAAATAATTAATGCAAAAATAGTGGTTGGATTTTGGAAAATTGCTAAATAATTCCTAAAATTCCTTTGGATTCTGCATAATTATTATTATCATCATCATCTTTGCCTCCTACTTCTTCGTCATCCTCTGTCGTCGTGTCATTATTATCGTCGATCTCTTCCTCGTCTTCATCGTATTCATCTTCGTCGTCGGGGATTTCATCGTCGGACTGGATAATATGCAGCTTCAAGCGCCCGTCTTTTCTGCATGCATGCATGAATTCCTGCGTGGGGATTCTGATCTCCTTGAGAACGAACCGCCCGTCTCCCCGGTAGGATTTGAACAGAACCCACGGCTTCCCGCTCCGGCCTATGCAAGAAATTGGGGGAGGGAACGCCGCTCTGATCATCTTCGATCTCTTCCACTCGCTGCATCGGTTCTCCGCGTACAAATGCCGGCGGCAAAGAACCGGCGGCCTTTCCTCGATACCCAAATCGGTAATCATCAGCTCCTCATCGTCCGGGTCGACAACGTCGGAGCTCTCTGACCCGGGGCTCTTGTTGATGATGATCTCCTCGCTGGTTTCAATGTTGAACATTTCGATGTCGTTCTCGGTGTCGGTGGCGTCCGCGGAGGAGGACGCCGCCGAGGAAAACGAAGAAGAAGTGGAAGAAGAGGAAGAAGAAGAGTCGGAGTAGAGGGAGAAGACGGACGATGAAGAGAATGATTGAGGTTGAGGTTGATGATGATGTTGTTGTTGTTCTTTGAACAGCAGTTCTCCAAAAATCTCGGCGAAGGATGATTTCTGGAGGGGCTTCATGGCCGCAATCTGGTTCCATGTCGGCGAAAGGGGGCCGAGAAACGTGGGTATCTCCGGCAATGGCTTATCAAGGATGTTCTGGGGGATTTCGAGGGCTGCCATTGATTGTCCCTCCAGAGCTGCGCTGTTAACCTAACGTTGTTGGTTTGGCTCTGTGTGTTTTATGGACGATTGTTTTGTTGGGGGAAATATGCCAAAACAAGACTTGTATTTAGGGTGTGATATGATGAAGGGCTAAGTGGGGAGAGATCGATGATGCATGGAATCGGAATAGGAATAGGATAAAGTCAATAAAGATAAGAAGAGATTGAGAGAGCATCAAAATCCTATTTTCTTGGAATGCCTCTCACTTTGGATTGGCTATTAATCTCCTCTTCATTAGTGGTCTTTATTTTATATATCATATTATATATATATATAAAATCCGACCATAAAGGGTATTAACATTTTTGAGGATAGGTATTAACATTTTTAATTATTATAAAATTCAAGAATCAATCTGGTATTATATGTCCACTAACATTCTTTTCAAAAGATTGAACCCCTACCCTAATGGCCCCCACATGCATCCCGACCCGACAAAGCATTGGGGAGGATGTAAATCATGTTAACTCAACTGAACATGAACCACAGAGGTTAGACTTGTGCTCACTGCGCACAAGGAACCCCCCTCACTTTGAGAGGTTGCTCCCACACTACTGCTGGTCAACTAACATTATATAACCAAGATGTTGTTTAAGAATATTTTTTGTAATAAAAAAAGTAATATAATAAGGGTTAACTCCAAAAAAAAAAAAAAAAAAAAAAAAAAAAAAAAAAAAAAATCTGAATATACATCAGCATTCGACAATGATAAATGTTGTTGAAATCCCATTGCATCCAACCTGCCAAAGAGTCCACAACTCTATTTTGTTCACGATAAATATGTTCAATAATCTTTATTTAAATAAGATATTATAGGGGGAATGTTCCCGGACTGTAAGTTTATTTGGCGAATAACATTGATGTTGAGGAATCTAAGAGTTTGTGGATAAAGAGTTAAACTAAATTTGTTATGTTACTATGAAGACAGGTCAAAGTTTCAAAGTTGTCTGCAACATTTTTTGTAATTTTTCATCATATGAAGCAAACGTGGTGCTTTTACAAATTGATTGATGGTGATGGTGAGAAGGTTACAAACCCATTACTAGCACATTATCCTGGGTTGGGTTATCTTGTTATTCCTTCTTTCTTTTAACATTCCTCCAACCACTCTTATCAGATATGATATATATGATGATGCATACATTATTATGTATGTTCATCTGAGCTCTGAAAACTCAGTCATCATAATCCTAAACCAGGTTGTCTGTTTCAAAGTTTTCTCTTGCAGATATTTTGGCCATGAACCATTGAAGTTGAGGGTATATTCTAAATCTGGCACATCAGATGAAAAGTAGTTCTAAAAGGCAATTCTCCCACACAAACTTCTAGTCATGACAATATTGTTGCATAATAGATGGAGAGTCAAACCAAAACATGAGATCGAATTGAATTCTAGTATTCAGTTAGCAGAATGTTGATGTACATGAAACTGCAACAAGTTAATCAAACCTTCACAGCCACCACAAATTAAAGAATCAAACAAATGCCAATCCACAAATTTCAGAATCAAACAGAAGACTGGAAGCTATAATGCCTTTCTTCATCTCCAGGTCTCAACCCGCTCTGAAATGGAATCGACTCGGCTGAAATGGCTAATTCCTTGGAATTTAACATCGATTCCTAGAGATTGAACAACAGCCCGAAGCACATTAACTGTCACGGGGCCATTACCCTGCTTATAATTGTTAGACCGGCCTACTTTCCGGTCTGTCTGCTCTTCATTCAGCACGAAATTCAAGACACCAGCTTCTCTTGCATTCGTCATAGTGTGGACACTGAACCCGCTTGTATCAGATTCCTCCGTAGAAGTTGAATGGCGGTTAGAAAGTTCATTAGAATCAGAAAAACTCTCCGGGTAGGGTTCCTTTTCGGAGAACACTTCTGCCAACCCTTCAACTGACTTTTCGTTTTTCCCCAGGATAAGCTGTGGTGGACTTTGGTGGCCATTCTCACCAGATGGCTCGAGGCTGAAAGTCGGATATAGTTCTGCAAGGAAATCTTCTCTTTCCCGTAATGCCTTCTCGATAAGTCTCTTCAAGAAGTTCATCACCTGGACTACATACATCATTGCAGTCAATGGGTCTGCCATCTGCAAAAAAGAACACAGAGACCATTTGCACAATCGAATTCAACAAAAACAATTCTTATTGGACAACATAGAGACAAAGGATACTAAAATAGAAGTGCAATCCAATGTTACCTGTGTCATGTTAGGGGCAAACACCACTGCGATGTTGTGTGGATTCATCTTGTTTCGATGTTCTTCTTGGACAACATCAGCCATCAAGTTGATGGCCCAGTCGAGCAGAGCAGCTTCCGTGGCAGGCAATAGTCTCACAAGCGCCACACAGTCCTCTTCCGAGTCACATTGCATTACCTGCTCCTGAGAAAGAGAATCCAACACCCCACTCGGGAGTTCTCGAAACCAAGCCTGTAAATAATTAAGGTATAAAAGGGGAAATAACTACAGATTTGTCTGACCAGAATAAATAATTAACACGGGAATTGTGACAAAGTTAAAACCTTAATGAGGCCTGCCAGACAGTGTACATCAATGTCTTCTGGAACTACTCCACTGTTTAACCGGTCTCTTACATTCTCCTCCTGGCCGTTCTCTGCATTTATTCTGAAAATTCCTTCAGCCTGTGCACATAATGGTCAATAATTTGGTCAGGGCTAAAGAGCCAATGCCATGAACAACATATATGCAAGGCGAATAAATAAACAAATAAAGTTACAGGTGATTTCCGTGAGTCTACCAATTCTTCAATCAGTATAAACGTGAAGAAAACAATGTGGTACCTGCAGGCCCCCGTGAGCATATAGACGCCTTTGCATCAGCAGGAGAATAGTCGGAACACTGTTCCCTCTGGAATCGAATGATAATTGCATAGATTCCGTTGACACTCCAAAAACAGTAGTGCTGCAAGAAGTTTAGATTGTAAAAGCGAAACAAACATAGTTAGATCATCAAGCGGGCAAATGAAACTCTAGTTTCACTTTTACTAATTATCATCATCAGTTTCATTATGTCCTCAGCTTTTTTAGGCAATCAAGATCTCAGCTTTAAATACCCTTTCTTACTCCATTAGATAGGTTCTCATGCTCAATTGCAGTTCCAAAAACAAACAACAAAACACAGCCATCCAAATGGTCACTTATTCTCAATTCAACTAGCAAATATATAGCATTTCTAGTAGCACCCTAAGCAAAAGGAACAAACTTTAACAATCTTAAAGACATTATTTTGACCTTGAAAACAATAACTTAGATTGCATCCTAGGAAACTACAAATGACTGAATTGGAAACCCATTTAGGAATTAGGAGCAGCAAATATCTAAGAGACAGACCAAGATTAACTCACATTACTGCAATGAATGATTACCCCAACTGAAGAATTATATCAAATTTTGAGATGAGATATTGTACCTTGCACTAGGGGCTCTTCTGGGAACCTCGGGCTCAAACTCCACAGGCAGACCCAAGAATCCATTGAATCTATCGAAGGTAACATGAGCCACGTGGCGCACATTAGTAGGCCATCCAATCTCCATCCCCCCGGCGGCGGCAGGACCACAGAGCTCCCCATTATCAGTCTTGCAAGTCACCCAGAAACTCTTTCTGAACAAAGTCACCAAAATGGCCAACAGAGACAACTGATCTCTCTCCTTATCTATTTCCTCATCCTCAAAAGACAATGCCCGGGTGGGTGCGGATACTGTAGGAGAAGACGATGGAGAGGAGCAAGACGAATGGAGGACCTCTGTCATTGTTTCCCCAACCCCAAAGATTCAAATTTTGGTTTCTGCAATAAAGAATTGATTTTTGATATTTTGTGATTTTGTAAAACGAGAAGGAAAAAGACCAATTCTTTGATGTGATTGGTGGCATAGGTTTCGATAAAGAGCTGTACACCAGTTGGATTCAAGAATCGGCCAGATTGGATTCTGGGGACGTGTCAATCATGAACTCACATTATTATATGCATAATTATTGCATTTTTACTCATATATATGCATATATCGTACCGTGTATAAAATGGTAAGAGAAAAATTTGACTGCAGGATTGCGCCTTGAATGAAGCGAGGGTTTGGATTTGGGACCCAATTTTATATAATTACAAATATTTAAAAATATATACTCCGTAATATTTATTAGATTTTGCCAATTAAATTTAATTTATATATTAATAAATTAATTGAATAAATATTTTATTTTTTAACAATTAAACACACACATAGTGCACCTACACTGCACTTAGTCAGAGTATATTGTAAAGTATATTTTATGAAGTTTACATAGTACGGAGTATTTTTTATTTATTTATTATTTTTTTTTTTTTGATATTTTGGACTTTTTCTTGATTTTTTTCATTGTTTTTAATTTTAATTCGATTTGAATGATGAGTTTCACTCTAACTCATATAGACAGAGATTCAGTTTAGTATGTCTTGATCAATTGAAATTGTTATGAAGTATATTATGTAATCCTAAATATCCAAAGATGATTGACTACTATATATATAATTCATGCAAAAAGTTATATTTGTTCTTTATGTGTAAATATTTTGCAAGATATAATATTTGGACAAACATACTTTGTATAAGAATGTTTTTGTTTTAATTTCGTTTTAAAGATCTAATTCTAATGATGAGCTTTGCCTCCGTCCTGAAGACCACTGAGGCTCAACCGGATACCAGTGAACCACAAGCAACTTGATAACAGGCATTAATATTTAATACCCTCAATTTTAAATATATATTGGCCCTGTTTGGTAAAAAATTGGTCTATAGGTTAATTTTGACTTATTTGATCACTATTAATTGTTTGATTTAGTTAAAATATCAATATAAATGTTTGGTTAATTAGCTTTTTACAACTCCAAAAGGCTAAAATTCAAAATGCTACCCCAAACAACTTTTTCAATTAGCTTTTTGAGAAAAAAAAATATGCCAAACAGCTATAAGCTAATAGCTAATTTACCAAACACTTTTCTACAATCAGTTAATGTTATCAACTATTTATACCCTCTAATTAACACAATCAGTTAACCGCTATCAGCTATCAGCTAACCGCCATTTTACCAAACAGGGCCAAAGTGAAATTCTTGGATTTATGAAAGACGAACAACTGCGAAAGCATTTGCCAAGGATGTTTTCATTAATCAAGAACAAAAGTTGGGGGCTCGAAGAACGGCTCCTTCGGGGCCTTCCCCGGGCGTCGAACAGCCAACTCAGAACTGGTACGGACAAGGGGAATCCGACTGTTTAATTAAAACAAAGCATTCATCAGGGTAGCGCGTGCGGCCCAGAACATCTAAGGGCATCACAGACCTGTTATTGCCTCAAACTTCCGCGGCTTGAAAGGCCGTAGTCCCCCTAAGAAGCGGTATGTTGCAGATTCACGGTTGCTCGATTGCCCGACGACGCGTGCCAATGATGTTTTTTTGCATGTCCGTCTCCGTCCGGTGCGCCGGCCCGCCTTGCGACTCTGATGGGTCTATGCCGGTATTATGTGACATTAAATATTTAGGGAGTGGTGGGAGTTAAAAGGTACTCCGCATAATTTTTGTTATAACACAAAAAACTGTAAGCCATTCTTAAGCAATAAAGATAGCAGAAGAATGCTGTAAACCATTAGACTTCATCACTCTCTGATCTCCACTGTACTATAAAATGGCACCTCAAACGTTCCCATAATCACAACACATCAAGAGAATTGAAGCAATAATAAAACAAACAAAACAACAATGGCAAAGGCGGCTCTTGCAATCATCTCCGCGCTTTGCATCTTGGCCGCCATGGCAGGCTCCGGCAGCTGCCACCCCGGAGAATCTTTCACCGTGAAGGGCAAGGTTTACTGCGACCCCTGCCGCCTCAAATTCGAGACCAGAATCAGCGAGAACATCGCGGATGCTGTTGTGCGGCTGGAGTGCAGGAATATGACGACAGAGGAGGTGACGTACACCAAGGAGACGACAACAAACGCCGACGGGACGTATATGATGACGGTGGAGGGGGAGCACGAGGAGGAGATCTGCGATGTGACGGTGGAGAAGAGCCCGAGGGAGGATTGCAAGGAGGCGGCGGCTGGGTTGGAGAAGGCGCAGGTGGTTTGCAGCGACAAAGTTGGAATGCACAGCAACGTTCGATATGCCAACCCGCTGTTCTTCATGAAGGAAAAGGTTTCTAAAGAATGCGCCAAAGTCCTGAAGGAGTTGGATTTTGTTCCTCTTGAAATGTAATCAGATCAGCCTTTGCCTTTGCCTGCCTGCACCTTTAATGTCTCATATGTTGTTGCCCACTTCTCTTGTATATGCATGTATGTCATGTCATGAATAAAGCATCTTGTTGATGTTAAAACTCTTCCTCTCCCTCTATCATTATTTGATTTTATTTTTATTTTTAGTAACTGGAGAAACTCGAATCTTAGAGTGCGAAAAACCACAAGAAAGTAAACTAACATAGTTGCCTAAGACCATAAGAAAGTAAACTAATATAGTTTCCTAAGAGAAAGTAAACTAACATAGTTGCCTATAGCTGAGCCTGATTGTCTATAGTTGGTTGCTGGTATTGTAAAATACTGTCGCAATACGGTTATTATTGATGAGATACGAAGGGAGTTACAAAGGGCGGTTACCTATCTGGGTTACCTAAGTTACTTCGCACTCACTGCCCTTAGCCCGATCAACGTGGCAGTGGGCTAGAGGTTCCCGAGCTACTTGGCTAGTTCGGGTTCAAAGTTCCTCTCAAGCTACATGGCTAGTTGGGTTCGGTATTTATAGAGGCTACGGGAACAATACCCGGACCTCCGGCATGTTAGCCGCGTGTTGGCCATGCATCGAATGCAAGACTCTGCCCGGTCCGAAGTTGCTACGTGATAATAGATTCCTAACCATCGTCAAATCAATCAGTCTGCCAATTCAGACCGGGAGGGCTCTGCCCAGGATCGATAGGTCTCTAGATGGAGCTCGGCAACTAAAAGTGACCGGGAAGGTTGGCTTTACCGGTAGGGGCCGACTGGTTTGGGCCAACCAAGCACCGGGCGCACAGGACCACTGGACCAGTCAAGTGCTAGGCACGAGGCCCTAGGGATAATCCCTATCAATTGCCTTTAGTTGACCGAGCCTGATTGTTCATAATCACCTCTACAATGCGCCTCTTGAGCAGTGCATGGTAAAATAATAAACTCAGATCCAAGATATAACAATTTCCTACCTACTAAGTTGTTACTAATCAAATCAATGTTTTTTTTTAAAAAAAAATCTCTAACACAAATATAATATTGAGACTGAGGTTAAAGATTTGGTCCACTAAAATATTGCAACTCCAAGGGTAAGATGATTATACAAGCACCAAGGGGTTTAGAATATTTGGTACAGTAACCATTCAAAAGCACAAGCTGCAGTAGCTTATATAGTATTAGAAACAAACTACACAAATTGCATGCATACTGCAAGCCACTGCTCTTCTATTTGTTACTACTTCAAAGGTTTCAACCCAAGGGATGCCCTCAGTCTATTTGCTTCGGCAATCTCTGGGTCTGGATGATCGGTTCCATCCTCTCTCATCTCCTTCTTCTCAGCTTTCTTCTTTTTCTTGGGTTCATCCCTAGTGGGACTAGCACTGCTGCGAGCATGTCTCTTACGCCGCTCATCATCACGATCCTTGCGGTCTCTGCTTCTGCTTCTAGAGTGGCTCCTTCTGCGACCCCGATCACGTCTATCCCGTTCCCTGCCTTCTCTGTCCCTTTCTCGATCCCTATCACGGCCATAGTCCTTGTCTTCCCTCAACCGATGGCGTTCCCTGTCCCTATCTCTATCTCTGTCTCTATCCCTGTCCCTGTCACGTCCTCTTCCCCGCTCCCTATCATAGTCACGATCCCTGTCATACTCTCTATCATAATCTCGGTCTCTGTCATAATCACGATCCCTGGCAAAGGAAAGAGTAAATGAGGCTGTTTGGCGCTCTCAACACATGGCATAAAGTATACATGGGCAACAAAGCTGCACAGACAACCAAGTAAAACAGGAAACAAACAAAACATTGCTTAATGTACTATCGTAACTTTTGAACACCAAATGAAATGTGTGATCTATCATACTTCTCACTGCCCACTGCCAGGACAGAGAAACCTGGCAAGATCAAACTTTCTTCTCGGAAGCCATTTCAGTCCACCAGTAGCTTCAAGTGCCATGATGGTTGCAATACGTGAAAGTGTGTGAAAAAACGTGGTATATTTCAAGAAACAGCTTCCGCTTGACACGGAGTAAATCCCAAATGTAAAATACTTTCTATCATGATGTATCAACAGATATAAATCCCAAATGTAAAGTCCAACATACACATAATAGAAAGGATAAAAGGCAAGAACAAAAGAATTAAAAGAAAAGGATGGGGCAGTTATATGTCATCACATGCATAGAAACTAATCCAGTATAAAAGCAAGAGTCACATGCATTCAATTCCTACTAGTCAGTTCCCTGTCTGGTGCTGCAAAATGATTAGTGGTATAAAAGTCCCAAGAGGGGAAGCAAATCCCTCTTCATCAGCCACAAAGTTTTCGATCAAAGATAATGGATAGTACCTGTATCTGTGACTATCTCTATCTCGCCTCCTGTCCCTATCTCTTTCCCTTGTTGGACTGTGACCATGATGATAATCCTGCATCCAAATTGCAATCCAAGGAAGAACATATAAAACTATAACTAAATGGAAATATATGTGATAACCACAAAACTAAAACACAAACCTTATCATGCCCATCATCTAATCCAGTAGTTAACTGCTCATCCTCATCCTTCTCCTCCTCCTCTTCAAAGTCATCTTCCAAAGCACTTCTTCGGGGTTCCAATTGACCAAGAGATTCAAGGGTCCATCTGAAAAAAAGAAAAACAAGAGATGAGAAACTAGACATGTAGAAGAAGCAAGCAACATTCAACTATTCAAGACAACACAAGGGGGATGATTTCAAAGTTTACATAGAAGGAGCTGATTAGATTCAAATGACCATAGCAACAAAATGTAAAGCATATATCCATTCATGACCACCCTAAAGCTTGTTGCACATTTATAGCCAAATAGCCCCACAATTATCAGCTAATTTATCAGGACAGATAACTAAATTAAGTCCTATATGAACATTCAAGAAAGGGACTGAATTTTACAAGTCTTAAACTTGCTATACTAATAAAGAAATGAAACCATGGCATACCTTTTCTTAACTCTAGGCAGGGCAATATCACAAGAGTAATCACTTGTTAGCAGCTCGTCAATATACTCGTCCACATGAGTTAAAGTAAACTCTGGCACAATCAGACAAATCAAAACAGAATATCAACACAACAGAGGAAGCACAAATTTCACAACACTTTTAGGGAAAAATAAAACTCTGTAACTTACTTCCTTCAGATGATTTGAGCCTCAACTTGCGATAATCATTGTACAGAGGCTCAAGGTAGCGATAAATGTCGATATCCGTTCCGGTAAGACGCAAGTAAAAGGCGCCGAGGACACGGACGTACTTGTAATCCTCATTCTTGATAAATTCGACGACGATGTCCTTCTCGGGCTGGATCTGGAGCATCTTCATGACGAGGCACATGAAAGGCGTGGGCTTGCGGTTTCCGCCGAAGGTTCCGCCAAGGTGATCCAGCTCCATAGCCTTGTCGACCAGCGTCTCCGCCGTCAGCCCGAAGCACTGCTCCTTCCAGTAAGTGTTCTGGTAAATCTTCGACCGCACTATTTTCTCCACAAGGTTCTGCGGATTGGTTCCGTGTATGCTCTTCGCCGTTGGGTCCGTACGGTTAGCCATTGCGTATCCAGGAAACCCTAACCCTAGCAGAAAATAAGACCACCAGTGTGGACTAGTATGTAGATTGTTCTTCCCAACTCCTCAAGTTGGAGGCGGAGGACTTTTAATATTTTTAAATAAAAAACTACAAAAATAATAAAACAAGTTAAAATTTAAAAATTCATTACGATTGAAAAATCAATAGTAGAATTTCCCGCTCTCCAATGAAAACAATAAATTTTTTTTAATTCTATGATAGAGTGAGCATATTCCCATCATCTTCAATAGCAATGATTTTTTTGTAATTTTTAAAATGTCAATTAGGAAATAAGATGAAAAAAAAAAAATTAAAAAACAGGTCTAACAAGAAAAAGAAAATAAAAAATAGAGCTTCGGACGCGCTAGCTGGCACTATTAGGCCACGCACCGCTATAGAGCCTTTCTTTTTCCTTTTCTCTCTTCTGATGGGACCCACAAAACTCCTCTTGCTCCATATAAGAGCAACCTTATCAGTTGGGGTTTTTTATGAATTATTTGTGGGCCCCCAACATCCACCTTATCATTCAGTATATCACAAAAAAATTTTCTCCACATCAGTTTGAAGTTATTTCTCAATTTTTTGGGGATCCACCATTTAACTCACTATATTTTAATTATTTCTTTATCTATCTTATTTATAAATTTATAATTTTAATGAAACATGGAATTAACCCACTATATTTTAGCATTCAAAAAAAACCCACTATATTTTAATTATTTCTTTATCTATTTTATTTATAAATTTATAATTTTAATTATGGAATTATGAACCATGCATACTATAATTAACCCACATCAATTTGCTTTTACAATGAAATATGCATACTGGATTTGCCGTTGTTGCTCCAAAAATTAATTAATTAATTTGAGAGTGACCGCCAGATTCCAATCACCCAGGCGAGTGCGTGCCGTACACGCGCCCGCTGGGTGGGCAGTGAGACCCAACTGCGTCTCACAACCTTCTTTATTTATGGCCAAATCTTTTTCAAATAACCCTTCTCCACATCAGCTATTAATTTTGGCTTGAGAGAATTAATGTAAAAATAACTTCATAGTGTGGATGCTCTAAGCCATGTTATCCTCAAAAACTTTGAAAAAACCATTGATGTAGATGCTCTTATTATCATCTATGTAAAGTCATTTTTATTTACATGTACAAGGAAGAAGGTCGATATTGAGTAGGGGTGTGCAAATTTCGGAGAAATTTCGGTTAACCGACCGAACCGACGAAATTCGGTTAACCGTTTTCGAACCGAAATATTTCGGTTCGGTTAATGGTTAAAGGTTTTCTTAAAATTCGGTTAACGGTTAATTCGGTTCGAAAGTGTCGGTTAACGGTTAATTCGGTTCGAAAGTGTCGGTTAACCGAATTAACCGAACGGTTAACCGAATTTTAGAATATATATATAATATATAATATATTAAATATTAAATATATAATTACTAAAATAAAAAATAGTCAAAATGTCAAATAGAATACATAATAATATGAATTTATTATGATATGTATTTTATTTTAATTGGAATTATTATTTTAGGAATTATTTTATGGATTTTAAATTTTAGGGTTAAAAATTTCGGTTAATCGGTTAACCGACCGATTAACCGAAAAAAAGTTCGGTTCGGTCAATTCGGTAGAGTAAATTTCGGTTCGGTTAACGGTTAAAGCAAAAAAAAGTTCGGTTAATTCGGTTCGGTTAAAACGGTTCGGTTAACCGAACGGTTAACCGAATGAACACCCCTAATATTGAGAAGCCTTCAATGTATTAATAATTGAACAAAATATCACCATTCACATGAATATGAAATGCAGTAAGAAAACCTGCATAACACCTCAAAAATTGGCACCAAATTACAGGGAAAAGGAAAGTTCACATAGGGAATCTTGAAAAAAATTTACAACTATTTCATTTACTCAGCCCCTTCAATACTAGACTACTACTTCACCATGCAACCAGAGGAGAAGGCTTATAGAGTTCAGAGTGTCTGCTGTTAATTTACCAGCTTCACAACATGTGAACATGGTGGGGAATAATAATATGATAAAAAGTATATTCAAATTATGCCATTTTCCCCAATATAGGAATGAAATGCCTCTTCAATCATCAGCAGTGTCCCCACTTTCATCGTCTTCTTGTCCGTCTTCCTCTTCACTGCCATTTCCTTCTTGTCCATCTTCTGCTTCACTTCCATTTTCTTCTTGTCCGTTTTCTGCTTCTCTTCCATTGCCTTCTTGTTCGTCTTCCGATTCACTTCCATTGCCTTCTTGTCCATCTTCCGCTCCACTTTCATTGCCTTCTTGTACATCATCCTCTTCACTTTCATTGGTTTCTTCTCCATCTTTCTCTTCACTTCCGACCGGTTGTGCCTTACTTGCACCATTTTCTTTCACTGCAGGTTTGGTGTTCTTACCCTTTTTGTTGTCTGTAGATTCCTGTTTCTTTTTACTCATTCCATTCTCAGCAGGTTTCTCTTCATTCTTAGCCTTTTTGTTAGATTCCACTGACTTTGATGCTGCTGCTTTCCTTTTAGAATGTTTTTGCCTAAACTCTGTCAAGAACAGGGGAAAAAATTTTTAAAATAAAAGAAACAAGATAGCTGTGAAGTTATCAACTTCTCTAACAAATAGACAAATTTGTTTATGAATTTACTTAAGATAATAATGAACTGACAATGTCAAACTCCATAGCCAACATGTTTTTGAATGAGTTAAAACTTTCAAGGCACTCACTTATCCAGTAATGCTAAAGATGATTGGCAATTGGTTTGCAGGCTATTACACAAAAGAGGGGTTTACCCAAAAAAAAAAAAAAAAAAGATGGTTGACAACAAAGTGTATAACAATGATGACTGGCTGTTAGGATGCAATTTTGTTGATCACGGCAAGTTGTAGGTTCAACTATTCAATTGAACACTCTTTCAAGCAAGTAATGGGCTGAAGAGCTTGGTAGAAGGGGAATGGAAGAAGAAGCAACAAAGAAAGGCAGATCAAAGTTGACAGAACTCTTTTCATTTCCTGGAGGCATATAAAATATGGGGACAAATTGGCTGGCATTGTGGATGCTAGGAATGATAACATTTGGCTATTTGGAGATTAAAAAAAAAAAAAAGTAATTCCACCAAGTAAATTTAAGGAAAAATGATATAGTTTTCAGTGAAATGGATATGATATAGAAAAAAGGCACACATGGCTCTAGCAGGAAAAAAGTTTCAAAAAAGAAATAGATCATGTATCCTAAACATATGTAACTACATAAATGTCTACAAAATGGTGTATATTACAGAAGCACAAAAATTGGATAATTAAAGCAGTTAAATTTCATGCCAGCCAGTTCCTCCAATTAGTGAATATGTTGGTCATTACTGTTCATAATTACTGTTCTGCTCCTGTCAATAGAGATGGCTACTCCTGCTATAGAAGCACTAAAGGCGTTCTAACAAACAATGAGGTTTAGAGAAAGAAACTAAAATATAAATTGTTCTGTACAGAGATAAGGTAAGGCACATATGTCAGTAGCAATATTGTGCAAGGTGAAAGTATTTTGGTCCTTGCTATTCCACGTTTGTTAGACAAACTAAGCGAAGCCATTTATGATTAACATTGTGTAGTTCATAACTGGAGCAAACATCTGGCTAAAACCGAAAACAGTAACACTTATCTAAAGGACAGGAAAATAATTGAAGGATGACAAAAAACCAGTAATGACCGAGAAAATTGTAGAACTGGGATCACTCAAAAGCAGTCAACCAATACAAAAGCAGGATCTTTGAAAATAGCATACACCAATAAATAAACAAAAACTAACCTTCAAGAGAAGCTCTGAGAGGATCAATAAATTCACTAAACTCTATTTCATCAAGAGCCTTGAAAACATCTTCTGCATTCATCGTTTGCCTCTTAGACTCCATGCATACATCATTTGCACTAAAGTAAACAAGATAAACTCGAAATCATATGAAGCCAACTCAAGAAATCAAAAAGCAAACTTTTTTTTTTTTGCACTTTGTGAATTTTTCTTTATTTTCTAAGTAGTGACAAAAAACCCTTTTAATATTAATCAATTAATTTACAACAATTAGTGAGACGAAGCTATTAATTCATGTTACATAAAGCAACTCTATCATTCCGCAAAGATTAAATAATCCCTAATTGTTACAAAGCCATATCAGCTATCACTCCAAAAAGAATAACAAAAATGGAATTACGGAGAAACCAAAGGCGGAGATAGGTTATTTGGGCGATCCAGAGAACTTACGCAGCAGAGAGGTAATGGATGAAGATACGTGCGCTCTCGGAGAAGGCTTGATGAGCCTCGCGGAGAAGTGACATCTCACCGTCCTTAGAGAGCTGGGAGAGCTTATCCTTCACTAGCCGGCGAACGATAGTCTTCGGCAGGTCTTCTACTTCCACTTCCGGCATTGCTGCTCCTTTCTCTTTGTCATCCGCCATCGCTATTGCCTCTTCCCTCTCTCCCTAAACAAGCACAGGAAGCAGTATGTATAAACCTAGGTTTCTTTTCCCGCCACAAGAGCAATGTTAAGATTTGGGGCTCGAATCGGGGCAATTTATTTTATTTCTGTTCGGGTCGGGTCTATAACTCCTTCATCCCAAAAAAAATAAAATGTTGAGCTTAATTTATTATATAACATCCCATATTTCACTACTACAAAACTTAATTATAGAACAAATTGCACTTTTGGTCCTGTAAGTATTAGGGTACTGACAATTTGAGTACGTGATTTTCAAAACTCCCAATTTAAACCTTTAACTATGCATTTTTTGGCACATTTGGTCCTCCGGGCCAAATTGCCGGCCAATTTTGGCCGGAAAAAGATATAATCCTTCGAATTAATTTCTGATGAGGGTAAAAACGTCATTGAGTGAATGTATTTGGGGGGAAAACACCTTCCGGTCAGTTAGTCAACAACACCACTTGCAAATTGGGGGGAAAGCAACGAATTGGGGGGGGGGGGGGGGGGGGGGGGGGGAATCCAAAGAACTTCATCTTCGACTAGTCATCTTCTGGAGCATCGATTGTGTCAAGTGGTCTGGAGCATCGATTGTGGACATCATCTTCTGGGTTTGGAGAGGGCGAGCTTCATCATCTGCGACTGGAATGGGTCTACAACTAAGTAAGAAAACTTTTGTTCGGAGTTTAAATTTGAAGAAATTGATAGTGTCTGAGCATATTTGTTGTTTGGGTTGCCTATTTTGGGTGTGTGTGGAGTTGAATGACAGTGTGTACATATCTAGGGTTTTGTCCTGGCTTTTAATATGCATAGAATATATTATGTAGTGTTGTTTTGTTCTGCGGGGACCATTTATGGGCAAGTATTTTTAACATTTCGTCTTATTGTGTTGTGTGGGCACCACCACTATACTAATACTTTTGTCAAGCATGCCATGTGCATAAACTGGGAGTAGGAACAATTTCTGTATACCTTTATTACTTTGTGGTCTGTGGGGTCCAATATGTTGACAATTGCATGTGTTAATGGTTTCTTTACAGGGGATGGAGTTGGTCCTTTTTCTGTTTTCGTTTGTGGCCTCTCATTACATATTCAACTACATTTCCTAGTTTTGGTGTATTATGCCTGAGTTTACTTATCATGTTTGTTTGTTTTGTCCCAGTTGAAGCCAAAAAAAAGAGTCATTTATACTGCCACACAAATCCCCATCCACCTTCCTTCAGGGCACAACCAGCCTCATGAGGCTGTATCTGGACAGCATCCACCTGAGACAGAAGAGCACATTCCCTCTGGTGACCAGCAGCAGCAGGAGCTAGATGACCTACCAGCAGCACAGCAGCTAGATGAGCAGGACCATAGCCAATCCAAGGACAGTAAAGGCAAAAGGAAATTGAGGCCCTCCAATAGGAAAAAACCCTATTATACCAGGAGCAAGACCACCTTCAAATCCAAGTTCTTTGGAAATAAGGGTGAACCAATTGACCTTGACTGATTGCAAACTAGGTGCTTGTTAGGTTGGCTTATGACTGTGTTTTGAAAACATGATGGATAAGTTAAGGTCTTAGCTGTTTTGTATGTATTGTTTAAAACAGTCCAGTTAGTCTCTTTTGGGTTGTCTTGGCTGTTTTGTATCAAACTACTCAATGTACACTGGTTTTTGTGAATGGTAATGCAGCAGGGATCATGCTTTTGTCCAACATATGTATCCAATAAATTCATTACCAAAAGCAAGACTGGAATTCATACAGTACCAAAACATATATATCCAAAAACCAAGCCTAATTCATTAATGACCAAAACCAACCATAATTCATACATTACCGTAATACATTACCAAAACCAACCATACTACAGACATTACACAACACCATAACTTGGAAATTTCATTACCAAACCCTACTACCAACTACTGCTACAAATATCACAATCAATACTACTAACACCTTGTTGATGGACTTCAAACCTTGTTCACTTCTCAGTTTCGAATTCAATTTTCGTATCTCTTCATCTTGTCGGTTGATGCGTTTAAGCAATCCTGGAATTATTCGCTTTGAACGATAGCACATTGGAGTATCATACCAATCAATAAAACCACATCCCACCTTCCTCTGTAATAATAAACAAATTGCCAAAAAAAAAAAAGGATTTAAAATAATTCCTAAAACAAAAAATATCTGGAAATTTGGTGTTCATAAATTAGGGTTTGAAACTAATTTAAACACAATTAATTAGTTAATACCTAATTTATGAACACCAAATTTCCAGATATTTTTTGTTTTAGGAATTATTTTAAATCCTTTTTTTTTGGCAATTTGTTTATTATTGCAGAGGAAGGTGGGATGTGATTTTATTGATTGGTATGATACTCCAATGTGCTATCGTTCAAAGCGAATAATTCCAGGATTGCTTAAACGCATCAACCGACAAGATGAAGAGATACGAAAATTGAATTCGAAACTGAGAAGTGAACAAGGTTTGAAGTCCATCAACAAGGTGTTAGTAGTATTGATTGTGATATTTGTAGCAGTAGTTGGTAGTAGGGTTTGGTAATGAAATTTCCAAGTTATGGTGTTGTGTAATGTCTGTAGTATGGTTGGTTTTGGTAATGTATTATGGTAATGTATGAATTATGGTTGGTTTTGGTCATTAATGAATTAGGCTTGGTTTTTGGATATATATGTTTTGGTACTGTATGAATTCCAGTCTTGCTTTTGGTAATGAATTTATTGGATACATATGTTGGACAAAAGCATGATCCCTGCTGCATTACCATTCACAAAAACCAGTGTACATTGAGTAGTTTGATACAAAACAGCCAAGACAACCCAAAAGAGACTAACTGGACTGTTTTAAACAATACATACAAAACAGCTAAGAGACCTTAACTTATCCATCATGTTTTCAAAACACAGTCATAAGCCAACCTAACAAGCACCTAGTTTGCAATCAGTCAAGGTCAATTGGTTCACCCTTATTTCCAAAGAACTTGGATTTGAAGGTGGTCTTGCTCCTGGTATAATAGGGTTTTTTCCTATTGGAGGACCTCAATTTCCTTTTGCCTTTACTGTCCTTGGATTGACTATGGTCCTGCTCATCTAGCTGCTGTGCTGCTGGTAGGTCATCTAGCTCCTGCTGCTGCTGGTCACCAGAGGGAATGTGCTCTTCTGTCTCAGGTGGATGCTGTCCAGATACAGCCTCATGAGGCTGGTTGTGCCCTGAAGGAAGGTGGATGGGGATTTGTGTGGCAGTATAAATGACTCTTTTTTTTGGCTTCAACTGGGACAAAACAAACAAACATGATAAGTAAACTCAGGCATAATACACCAAAACTAGGAAATGTAGTTGAATATGTAATGAGAGGCCACAAACGAAAACAGAAAAAGGACCAACTCCATCCCCTGTAAAGAAACCATTAACACATGCAATTGTCAACATATTGGACCCCACAGACCACAAAGTAATAAAGGTATACAGAAATTGTTCCTACTCCCAGTTTATGCACATGGCATGCTTGACAAAAGTATTAGTATAGTGGTGGTGCCCACACAACACAATAAGACGAAATGTTAAAAATACTTGCCCATAAATGGTCCCCGCAGAACAAAACAACACTACATAATATATTCTATGCATATTAAAAGCCAGGACAAAACCCTAGATATGTACACACTGTCATTCAACTCCACACACACCCAAAATAGGCAACCCAAACAACAAATATGCTCAGACACTATCAATTTCTTCAAATTTAAACTCCGAACAAAAGTTTTCTTACTTAGTTGTAGACCCATTCCAGTCGCAGATGATGAAGCTCGCCCTCTTCAAACCCAGAAGATGATGTCCACAATCGATGCTCCAGACCACTTGACACAATCGATGCTCCAGAAGATGACTAGTCGAAGATGAAGTTCTTTGGATTCCCCCCCCCCCCCGCCCCCCCCCCCCCCCAATTCGTTGCTTTCCCCCCAATTTGCAAGTGGTGTTGTTGACTAACTGACCGGAAGGTGTTTTCCCCCCAAATACATTCACTCAATGACGTTTTTACCCTCATCAGAAATTAATTCGAAGGATTATATCTTTTTCCGGCCAAAATTGGCCGGCAATTTGGCCCGGAGGACCAAATGTGCCAAAAAATGCATAGTTAAAGGTTTAAATTGGGAGTTTTGAAAATCACGTACTCAAATTGTCAGTACCCTAATACTCAAAAAACCAAAAGTGCAATTTGTTCTTAATTATATTTAATCCAATTCAAATGTTCAATGTTACAATTGTATTAGTAATATAATCTAATTCGTTTATCCATTCTTTCAACATGTTTAACTTTATTATTATAATTAATATCAATACATATTCGAACGTGTCAAAATGACAGTAAGAAAATTTTGTCCACCTATACATAAACACAACATGTAAACACTAATTCAATAGTTTTCAACATAATTCAAACGAAGATATGAACTCAGCATACAACTAATCTTAAACACTGCCTCAATGATAATAACTTTAAAGTAATATATGTCCGCACAAAAAATAAATATCTAATTTGTTATAATATTATATAGAGAAAAGGGTCAAATAAGCCCCTAAACTTCACCTTAAAGGTCAATTAGGCCCCTCAACATTAAAAAAGGTCAATTAAACACTCAAACATATTAAATTGAGTCAATTAAACCCAAAAACCGGTAAATGACTTGTTATTACAGGTCATTTTAATTCCGGCGACGGATTCCGGCCACCGTGGACAATTTCCGGCCACCGCCGAGATTTTCCGGCGACCGGCAAGATTTTCCGGCCGTCCGGTCGTCTTCCACTGGAGAAGACGACCGGACGGCCGCCTTCTCCAGGCAGGCGGCCGTCCGCCGCCTTCTCCAGTGGAGAAGACGACCAGATCTGGTCATCTTCTCCAATGGAGAAGACGACCGTCTAGTTATCTTCTCCAATGGAGAAGACTGCCGTCTGGTCATCTTCTCCAATGGAGAAGACGACCAGACGTCTGGTCGTCTTCTCCATTGGAGAAGACGACCGGACGGTCGTCTTCTCCTGTGGAAGACGGCCGGAAAATCTCTCCGGCCGCCGGAAATTGTTGCCGGCCGCCGGAAATTGTCACCGGTGGCCGGAATTAGTCACCGGTGGTCGGAATCCATTGCCGGAATTAAAATGACCTGTAATAATAGGTCATTTATCAATTTTTGGGCTTAATTGACCCAATTTAACTTGTTTGAGTGTTTAATTGACCTTTTTTAATGTTGAGGGGGCTAATTGACCTTTAAGGTAAAGTTTAGGGGCCTATTTGACCCTTTTCTCTATTATATATTGCTTCTGCTATAATTTTTTTTTTCTTTCTTTCTAAAGTTTAGCTTCTGCTAGACTTTGGTTGCCACTCACTCTTACAGGGCGTTTGGTTGGAGGGGGGGAATTATGTGGGAAAGGAATTGTAATTTCATGGGAGTTGAATTACTGGGAATAAAGTGAGAATTTAAATTTCAGTGCTTGGTTGACAGGAATAAAATTACTGGGAATTTCAATTCCAATGTTTGGTATACATGGGAATTGAAAGGGAATAAGTAGTATAAAGTAAAAAATGTCCATTATTGTTGTTAGACATTAATTTTAGGTTAAAAAATGAAGGGGTAATTTTGACTCATCACTATCTTTTTTTCCCAGGAATTAAAATCCCAGGGGGGACATGAAATTTTAATTCCATGAAAATGGGGGAATTGCAATTCCATGGAATTGCAATTCCCTCCAACCAAACTACGGAATTTAATGGCCTTTGGAATTAGGTAGGAATTAAGTGGGAAGGGAATTTAAAATCCTTCCAACCAAACGCCCTGTTAGTGACTTATGATAAATTATTAAATGGAAAGTGAATATATTAATGAATGTCTAATTAATTTGTTCAAAATTAAGGGATAAAATTAAATTTATATATTATTTAACACAAAATATTCAGCAAATCTAATGATTTCATGCATTTACTAGTTTTTAGTTGGAAAAAAAATAAAAGAAAAAGAAAAGGAAATTTACAATTCGTGATACTCGTGGAGTTGTGAGGCAGACAAAAGAATAAAGGAAGAGAATAACAATTTTTTTTAAAGGTTTTAAGCTAAGAATAATGTTTCCAATTGAGTAACTCAAAGGGTCTGTCCATATTCTTTTATTTATATTTATATATGGAAAGTAACAAGTGCTAGTGTATAAACACCTCAACAAAACCACCCACCAACCAGGTAAGTTCACTCCATTCTCTCTCTCCCATATATGTATGTCTTCACTCTTCAATTTCATGGGTATTACTCGATTATGGCAACGTTTTCTAATTTAGTAGTTATCTGATAATAAGTTCACTTGATTTTGTGTCTTCAGTTTTAGTATTTATGTTATAGTTATTTTAATCTTAATTTTATCAATGATTCTGTCTCATATTATATCTGTTATGTTTACGTATTGGTATTTTGGTTATATGTATGTTTAGTTCAGGTGAGGTCGCATCTTAACATGCGGTCAGGATGCGGCCGCACCAATAGTCATGCAAATATGCATTAATTGTGTTAGGAAATGCACACAAAAAAATATACACAAGTACATCAAAAAATGCACTCATCATTAGATAGACATAAACGCACCACACAGTGTTTGAAAATGCATAATTAAGTGTGGAGGAGATATGGTGCATTTTTTGGATGTTTTGTGGTGTATTTATGTATTTCATTGATGTGCATTTTTTCTAATACTATTGACTATTTTGTGTAAAATTATTGGTGTTTTTTTAAGCGATCGTACCAATCGCACGTTAAGACGCCACCGCATTTAAGGAGAAGTCTATGTATGTATATGTGGTTAATTAATATATAATAGTGTGACATAAAATGTTCCAAATTTGTTGTACCTATATATCCTCATCTTAAATTAATTATGTTGGGATGGGACTTGCAGGGCGGTGGATGAACAGCTGTTCCACTGAAAAGAAAGTCGGTGCCTGTAATTCAGTAAGAGATTAGTCATTGTGTCTGACTGAGATATAAGCCAAAAAAATATTGATGGGGGTAGGGAATCCTGAAAAACAATTACAGAAGGTACTGAGGTCGGTGTGGGGGAAATGGGACATCCAAACCATTATATTGGGGAGTCTTCTGTTTCAAACCATACTGGTTTTACTGGGGCCGATGAGAAAGAACAGGAAGAGCGCTATGACGCTGCTGCTAATCTGGGTCATATATTTGACCGCTGAAAACGTTGCCAGCTTCGCCATAGGTCTCATCAACAGCGGCGACCCCAGCCAGATCGCCGCTTTCTGGGCGGCGTTTCTGCTGCTCCACTTGGGCGGCCCGCACACCATCACCTCATTCGCCATAGAGGATAATGATCTATGGCACCGCCACCTTCTCTCCCTCGTCGTCCAGGTTTTCTTGGTCCTGCTCGTTTTCTACCGCTCCCGGATCTACCTCAGCCATGACTTACGTGTCCCCACGCTCATCGTCTTCGTCATTGGAGTCGTCAAGTATGCGGAGCGCACGCGGTCGCTGTACTTGGCGTCTCAGTCGATCATGCGCCGCTCCATGCGCAAGGAATTAAAGCCCAGAGATGAAACGCCGGCGGAGCAAGAGACCGGCTACCGGGACTTGGAGGCCGGCACCTGCAGGTAGGGGTGTAAATGAGCTGAGCTGAACTCTATATTGTTTCACTTGGAGTTTAAAAAATTTATAAATGAGCTCAAATAATCTAAGTTGCTTCATTTTATAAGAGTATTTTTGTTATTTTAAAATTAGGATCTCAGTTTAACCCCTAAGATCGGTTCCAATTTACAGTTTTCCTCATTAAATTAAGGTAGAATGAGAAGAACTACAAATTAAGATCATCTTAGTTTTTAAATTCATTTATTAATGCTCAACTTGGAATCTTTAAGGTGAAAATGACAAAAATACATTTAAAAATTGTAGATTTCAGCATGTCTTAAACAATGGGTGATCGGCCTGATAAATTTTGACACTAAAACAATTGAAAAAAATGACAGAAATGTGAAATATGCAATTCCCCAAAATATGACCAAAAAAAAAAAGTTAGACAAAAAAAAAAAACACATTTGAAAAATGCGCTTTATTGTATTTCCGGTCAAACTTAAAATGCAAGTGAGACTTGTGTTTCTCAAATGCAAATCCCACTTACCGCGAACTTTTTTTTTTTTTTTTTTAATTTTGATTTTTCCGGCGAAGGAGAAGGCAACTAAACTGGTCGCCTTCTTCGTTGCTGGAGAAATTAAACCAGCAACAAAAAATGGTGTCGCTGGCTTCTCCGGAGGGGGAGAAGGCAACGAGTGGCCTTCTCCTTCGCCGGAGAAGCCAACGACACTAGTTTTGGTCGCCGACTTCTCTAGCGAAGGAGAAGGCAGAGAAGCCGGTGACAAAACCGGTCGCTAGTTTCTCTGGTGAAGGAGAAGGCGACCAGTTTGGTTACCTTCTCCTTCGCCGGAGAAACCAAAATTTAAAAAAAAAAAGTTTGCTTTTCTCGAGAAACGCAAGTGAAACTTGCGTTATAAATTTGACCGGAAATATGATAAAACACATTTTCTAAATGTGTTTTTCATATTTTCGTCCAACTAATTTTTGTTTGTCATATTTTGGGGAATTGCATGTTTCATCTTCACATTTCTGTCATTTTTCTAAAATTGATACTAAAACATTAGTCGGGAATGAAAATTGGTAGAAGTAAATATGTTGCATCAAAACTATCATTTTGGTAATACTGGTGTGTAATATATTTACTCTACTTTTAATAGTAAAAAATATTAAAATATGTATTATCAAATCGAATTTTAATTTGATCCAATAGTTTGTGAAAGGCTTAACTGGCCCCTGGCCTATCTGCAGAGATGAAGTGGAGATCATGTACAAAGGGTACAAGCTCTACAAAATGTTCAGAGGGTTCATCCTGGACCATACATTTATTCACATTACTGAGAGTAAGGAGGCCATGGAAGATTTCTTGAAGCTGGGGCATGAGGATGCGTTTAAAGTGATGGAAGTGGAGCTCAACTTCATGTACGACTCCATGTTCACCAAGATGGCCTCCGTCCAGTGGATCAGTTGGTTCGGCTATTTATACAGATTCGTGCTCCACATCGCACTTATAGTCGTCACACTCATCTTTTTCTACCGGAACAAGAGCACCATTCATGCCCGGGACACTTCTGTCACATATATCTTGCTGGGCGGCGCCGTCCTCTTGGACTCCATAGCTATGGTGAAGCTCGTATTCTCTGAGTGGACCGTAGCCATAATGAAGGACGCGCAGGAGGAGTACGAACGGTTAAAACAATGGCCGGATGAAGAAGATCGGAGAGATCCTCTCGGGATGTTTAAGTATGTAAAGAAACGGATCGGGGGATGGGTTTTGTGCATGAAGAGGAACGAGAGAATCATAAGAATTGTCAACTTCATAAAGAACCGGATTTCTCGGAAACAGCGGTGGTCGGAGACGATGAATCAGTACAGTCTGCTGAACCACTCGTTGAACAGCCGGTGGGAATGGGTGGACAAGATCCTCGACTACTTCGGACTCATCGAGAGGATTGATTCGTTTCAGTACACCAAACTTGAGCCGGTGGAGACGAGCTTGAGGAAGATGGTGTTCGAGCACATCAAGAATGAGGCGGAGGAGCGCCACCGGCATGCGGCGGAGAACGGCAGCGAAACAGCACCGGCGGAAGATAAAGACAGACAGATTCCGGAGCTTCGTAAAATATGTTCCATCCTGCATAAGTACGAATACGACATTCGTGTGCTAATCTTGCATGTTGCTACCGATATATGCTATTACGCCATTGATGACGAGGAAGAAGAAGAAGATGAGAACCGAGAAACATGCCAAAACATCTCGGAATATTTGGCGTACCTTCTGGTGGTGGAGGGGAAAATCACATCGGCCATGCCCGGAAACGTTGGAATGAGATTCAGAGACATATGTTGGGAAGAAGTTGAACACACCCGCGAGGAACTCACCTGCAGGTTAGCCTCAAAACAACCTTCTTACGTCAAATACATGAAGTACATGTTGGAATCAACCTGGGAGGACATCAAGGAGGCCTTCACTAACCTCAAAAACTCCAGAAACAAAAATGCTGCAGGTACATATCTAACCTAATTAACCTTAGTACAACGTATCTAATTAAGGAACCTTGAATTGAAATTTAACATAGTATGGGCCTACCCAGCCATGGTTATTTAGTAACTAAGGTTAAAAGTTCGACCCTATATATTGGCATATTGACCTTTTCGATTTGAACCCGTCAGGTATAGACAACTGGATTAACCCCTTGTAATCTTTGCTGCTTAGGATCCTTTGATGGGGATTATTCCCCGAACACTTTGCATGTCCGATGGTCGGTGACAGACCTTGGGGCGGGTCAAGTCTGACCCGACCACGACCGACCTAAAGGGCATGCCTTCCTGACCTTCTGAGCTCACCAGGCTTGATTAGCCGAAGGATAGACTCGTGGATGGCTTCATGGCCCCGACTCTCCGACCTGTCTAGGTCGGGCCGACCCACTGGTACCTCGCAACATGATGCAGTGTGCTCAGGAGTATCACAGCATGTGGCCAAGGCCCCTTGGCCTCATCATGGACCCGTGCATGGTCTCCATGCACCACGCATGTCGCTGGTCCGAGACCTGTCCCCTCACGTCCCCTATAAATATTGCATTTATGACTGTCAGGGGACTTTTGGCTATTTTTACATATTAGCTGTAAGCTCAGATACCTACTACAAGCAGACTAGGCTAAGGACCCAAACCCAGAACTGACCTAGAACCGTAGATCGTAGAGAATACTCACCGTAGATACTACATCATCCACACTAGGACCTTGGACCATGTGGGTTTTTCTAGTCACTTAAAAAAATTTAACATGTACCAAAACAGGTAGGAATAAGAAAAGGGTGCGAACAAGGAGGGAGCAACACATAAGGAGGTGGGAAGACATGAAAAGGAGAGTGGGTAGTGAGAAGTTGTTGTGGGAGGTGGGAGATGAGGAAGGGAAGTGTATCGGGAGTAAGTCGGTGTTGAAAGAGGCGGTTCAGCTTGCAAAGGGTTTGAAACGCTTCAGTGATCGTGTTCCAAACGCCGCCGCCGCAGAAGGTGATAATGGCGGAAGAGGTTCAAAGGAAATGTGGGGGTTTCTGAGTGATATGTGGGTGAAGTTGCTGTTATATGCAGGCACCCATTGCAGGGGAGATGTTCATTATTTGAACAAAGGTGGGGAGTTTCTTACGTTTGTACGGCTTATGATGGCCCATTCTGGGCTCAAACAACGCTTCAAAGATGAAGCAGCAGCTGCTGGGAACCAAGTTGATGTTCAAATTAATTAATCAAACTTTCTTGTAAATTTTGTCCTGTATGTATATGCATGCATGCTTATATTGAATCACAATGGCGCTGTATGTAACTATGTAAGGAAAATTTTTAATTTTGTTTGTGGATAATAATAGCATCTACTAGATGCTTTTTGATTTTTTTTTTCTCTAAATGGTTGGATGATCAACGTATTATTAGGTAGCTACTTCAATAAGTCTTTGATTTATGCCAAAAATTTGCAACTACAATTCGAAAGTATATATTTTTAGAGTTGTTACATTACGAGAGTGAGACAGTTCATTGTTCTAATCATTATTTATATATTGATCATGAGAGTGGCTTATAGACTAGGTTCCGACGTTCATCCCCTTGATCAATCCCTTGGTGCTTCATACCTTGAGTCCAGATTCTTTATTTAATATGTGTGTATTATTTTGTTTAGTTATCGTTGTTTTAAACTTGCTTGTTTAGATTCTTAAAGAACGACAAAACTGCGTACTGTGTGCTCCTTATGCTACATCACTAATAACCACTTATTCACATGTAAAAATTCGCAACGCTTATGTGTAAAACCACAATTAAAAAAAAAAATCAAAACAAAGTAAAATATACATACGTCGGAGATTGGCAACAAACGAAACACTCATTGGTCACTTTTTCGAAGTGAAAAAGAAAGTGATGAAACACTAAAAATCTCTTAATGCTGTTGGAACAAGACTTTAAAGTGACCTGTCAAACTAAGTTAACTCCATCTACGAGACAAGTGAAGTTCCTTTTAATCAACTAATAATACACAATACATCAATATTTGATAAAAGAATAGGAAATTTAATGATTCACTCGTGAAACTCATGCATGATGGGAAATAGAAGAGAATAAAGTAAAAGCATTATATTATTGTATTGTTTAAGGTAAGCCAAGTATTTTGGGATATTTTGTGTTTGAATTAAGGAATATTGTCAGCGACACTTTGCTTGAGTAGCATGTTATCTATATTCTCTTCTATGCTTATAAATAAATATTACTTTCCATGATATTTAATAACAAAAAACACGTACACAAGGATAAGCTAAGGAGTCTAAGGACAACCTACAAAAGCCAGCAGGTAAGTTTACTCACTTATTTAATTACTAGTTTTTTTTTTTTAAGTGTTTTACGCGAATTGGATAATGCTCAATAATTATTTATAAATAAGTATTTTAAAATATATTAATGTAATATTATATAAGAGATGTTCATACATAAGTAAATAAATGTTGAATTTATTTATTTAAATCGGTAATTTAAAGCATATAAATGTAAGTTAATATATGAAAGATTGATTATAATTGTCACTAAAATAAATCTTTGTAACTTTGTAATAACGCTAGTCTAAATACTTAGTCTAAAAGCATGCACCATTAAACAATTTTAGTGTACACTATTAATTATCTGTACAAGAATGCACCATTAAACATTTTCAAATGTTACACCGTTTTAATTACAAAAATGTCACTACAATTTTATTTTTTTGGGTCTATTTTCCTTAATTTTAGCTATTGATATTCTAGATCAGATGAGATTAATCCACAAATTCTCAAAGGACTATTAGTTCTTATTTGAATATGATCCATGTATTTTTTTTTTAAAACAAAATTTTATTTAGCAAAGGAATTAAAATGTCTTACAACTGATGGTCCAAAAGTGACCATAACACATACTCAGCCATTGAGATTGGGTCTATACTAATATAAAGAAACTAAAATAAAGGATGGACTCAAGCCTTAACAGGCTAGGCTAAAGAATGAAATAATAAAATAATGGACTCAATCCCAACTAATAGGCCAAATCAAAGGAATAATAAATGAAGAAAAATAAATAAATAATAGGGGTGCTGAAATGCAATCATTATTGTGTGGACCATGGTCCACACAAGTTGTATGGACCATATTTTATCTACTGTAAAATAATGTACATTCAGTATAAAAATAATGTACATTCAGTACAAAAATAATGTACATTATATTCAGGGGATGTACATTATTTTTGTTCTGAATGTACATTATATTGTATAATGTACATTCAGTACAAAAATAATGTACATTTAGTGTATTAAAATGTACTTTTTGTTATGGTCCACACAACATTGTGTGGACCATGGCCTACACAATAATTTGCCGCTGAAATGGAGGCGCAGAAAGTATTACCTTATTGTATAATTAAGATGACATTATATTACTAAGACTATGTGGTCTAATGATATTTAGGTTAGACTTTCATTTGGATGGTTGTGAGTTTGAGCCTTGTTATATTAATATATTTATAACTAATGAATTATATATATTATTCTTACATATAATAGATAATATAGAATAAAATGAAGTAAAATCACCCCACAAGCTAAGTAAAATATTTATTATTGAAGTTTTTGTAAGTTTAGAATAAATAACTTTGATTTATTAAAAAGTACATAATTATATATATAATCGATACCTGAACGTGCGTTTGAGGTTAAACTTGTCCAATGACCATAGCTTTAGGCAAATTATATTGTGGACCATGGCTCACAAAGTATCGTGGACCATAGTTCAAAACGGTAATGTTTTTTTTTTTAATTTAAAGAAACGACACATGTTATCTTATTTTATGTAATCAATTCAGTTTGTATCACATATTCAGTTTCATTTCATATACATTATAGTTTCATTTCAGCATAACTAAAGTTTCATTTTGTTTTGACATTATACATATAATAGTCTTATTAAAATGAAACATGTTATTGAATTTCATTTATACTCACTATAGTCTTACAATACCACTGAATTATACCCCATCTATCCCATTTTATCTGTCTTACTTACTATTCATTGGTCAAACCAACTATTTCTTTTTTGTTAATTTTAAATACACTGCATTTTAGTTTCATTTTATTATAAGTACGGGAGCTGCTAAAAAGTAACCGGTGGCGTTTCTTGGTTATGGCTAGGCTGGGGAGCGATAGATCGAGATGAGGCTTGCATTTACAAGGGACATATTGGAAAAATGGAACATCCAATTCTTCGTTATCGCTAGCCTCCTCTTCCAAATGATACTGCTTTTCCTTGCGCCGCTGAGAAAATGGGTAAACAACGGATTTATGTATCTGGTGATCTGGGGTGTGTATTTACTGGCAAGCTTCTTTTCCACCTTCGCCTTATCTCTCATCTACAACCACGCACAGGCACAAGAAGTGATGAATAAATTTGAGTTTATAAATTTCACAAGAAGAACTACCTATCCTTTGTGGGCGCCGTTTCTGCTTGTGCACCTGGGCGGGCCTCACACCATCACTGCACTGGCCATGGAGGACAACAATTTATGGCACCGCCATTTGCTCACCCAAGTTGTTCAGGTCCTCTCCGTGTTGATCGTCTTCTACAAATACCGAATCTTCCAAAGCGAATGGCTCCTCCCCACGGCCATCGTCTTCCTCGTCGGAATCGCCAAGTGCGTTGAGCGCATCTTCTCTCTCCACCTTGCGTCTTCCAATTTCGTCAGGAAGTCCATCCGCCTCCAAGATTCTCCTCCTCCTCCTGCTGCGGCTGCGGCGGCGGATGATAATATTAATAGTCTTGACGAGTACGAGATTATAAGGAGAGGTTACGAGTTCTACCAAACTTTCAAAGGCTTCATCATTGATCACACGTTTATCCACGACGAGTGTGGGACGATGAAGGAGTGGTTCAGCAAGCTAAGTGAAAAGGATGCGTTTAAAGTGATGGAAGCCGAGCTAAACTTCATGTATCAGGCCATGTTCACCAAGATGATTGCGGTCCAGTACTTGGAGAAAAACTTTTTCTGGTGCATATGGTGGTTTGGGTCTCATGCTTTACTTGTAACAGTGGCGGTCATCTTCTTCAACCAACCTAATAAACACCGTTATCTCGGGCATGTTGACATTGGTGTTACCTACTGCTTGCTGGGCGGTGCGATTCTGATCGAGGCGATAGCTCTCATTCATCTCATATTTGGCCACTGGACAATCTTTAAAATAATGAATTCTGGTTGTTATAAAAATAATAAGGTGGTGAAAAACACAATTCTCCCACTCATTAATTGTGGAATGAAACTTATTTCCCAGAAGAAGAGTTGGTCAGGGAAGGTTATACAGTACAGTTTGGTGAAGCACTCGTTAACTGGACAACGGTGGAAATGGGCAGAGCCCAAATTGGAACTCTTTTCACTCAAGGAACTTATTGATTCCCTTCTGCACACTCAAACCGCCGAGGTTGGAGACAGGTTAAAGAAGTTGGTTGTCGACAACATAAAAAGGAAGGCTGCAGACGACATAAACAACAACAACTCCCAGGATGTCATGGCCATAATACTCCCTCTCTTTAAGGACCATACTGACGATGATTATGCCACGTTTGTGTTAACCTTGCATGTTGCTACTGACATATGCTATTTCGCCACCGAGAAAAGAGAAGGTGATGATGAAGAAGAAGAAGAAGAAGAAGATGCAAAATTGTGCATACAAATCTCCCATTATTTGGCCTACTTTCTAGTGTTAGAGGGGAAAATCACGTCCGCACTGCCGGGAAGTATAGGAATGAGATTCAGAGATGTTTGTTGGAAACAAGTCCGCCATACCTTTGACCATCTCTACTCTACCTTCAATGCAGCAGCTACCCGTACAGGTACGTACCCACGCACCTATACTAGCTACCCTAATTACTTTTTGTAATTATATTATATACTCCGTATTAGTTTTGTTAGGATCAAGTGTAGTTTCTAGATACTGGTTTGTTTAATTTTAAGCCCTTTATTACCGACCTCCGCCTAACAAGTTTTATCCTCTTGATCTTATTAATTAATTACATGCATACAGGTCGTATATGGTGTTGGAAGCGAACAAGTAGACAGAAAGCCTGCGAAGACCTGCTAAGTGACGAGTACTGTGAAGTGATGATAAGTACTAGGTACGAGAATTCAGTGTTGCCTAAGGCTGTTGAAGTTGCAAGGAAAATGAAGAGACGATGTAGTGCAGATCCAGAAGCTGGGAAACAGAAGGAGTTTTGGAAAGGTCTGAGTGAAGTGTGGGTAGGGTTGCTGGTGTATGCCTCCAGCCATTGTAGAGGAGATATTTACTACCTCAACAAAGGTGGACAGTTTTGTACATTTGTTCGCCTTTTGATGGC